AACAAAGACTATTGTATCGTTAAAAATTATTTTTTTATTTTGTACAAACAAAATAAATATATTGAAAAATATAAAAATAATAAAAAATTATACTTCAGATGTTAATTTAGTATCAAAAACGTAAAATATTTGAGTAGCCCAAGACATAGCCAAAGATTGAAGCGCCACAGCACTGGTGAAAATTTAAATTTGCCGACTGGAATTCTTTCGGATGATTGACTTTCGGAAAATCGACGCTCTACTGTACAAACATTATTATGTAATGAAATACCTTGGTCTTTATAAATAATTATTTGAATGATCTGATGGGATACCTGAAGTTGGATAAGTAGTAATTTTGAGAGAAAAGAAAACAGTCAAATCCAAAAAAGCATTATAATGGGAGAGAAAATTAGCATATTGTTTACAAGCAAAAAAATAATAAATATTGTTTAAGAAAAAAATTTTTGTGCCATCTAAATAAGAGTATGAGGGATCCAAAAATTGCCATGTTATATTAGTTAAATTAAAATCACCACAGAGTATAATCTGTCATTTGAAGTTTTGAAAGTAAAAAGAAACTGCTTAAGGAATGTGAATATGATAATAGACTTTGCTATTATGTAATTATAGTCTATCTGTTTTAATTACTAAAATGGAATGTCCATATTCATATATTTTTTTAAAGATTTTCAAATGGTTAGGAAAAGCCACCATTATTCCATCGCTGCGTTGAACAGTTTGGAACATAGATAGGAATTAAAACCTAATGACTCAATAATATATAAAATGTCATAGAAAAACAGAGTCTCCCAAGTTTCTGTAAAAATAAAGATTGTAAAAATCATTTTAAAAGGTGCACAGATTTGTAGGGTCTATTTTTATGGACCTTACATTTTGTAGGAACAACCGAATCATATAAATAAAAAAATAAATGAAATAAAATCACAATTAAAATAAAATTTCAACAGAAAGATATTATAATCATTATGTTAAAAACGTGAATATCCTGAGACACTGAAAACACACCAGGAGGAGATAGAGCCCAAATTTGTTCAATCAAAAGCAAAAGATTTTAATAATTATGAATAAAAGAAAAATAAAACAAAAGTCAAAAACTAACATGAAAAACCAAAAGAACAATAATCAAATTTAAATGAAATCAGGCTCTATCTCCACTGTGCATAAAAAAAACCTTGAGTTGTGGTCAGCACTTAAGAATGCAGCAGGGCAAGACCACTATCAGTAAGGGGTGTACTAGTACATTATGTTAAACAGAGATTATGAATACAGGATCTTTGATAACAACAATGTTAGTTCAGATCAGTGATTATTTCTTGTCATAAATGAAATTTGTTAAGATAAAAATTGTTGAAATTCTGCAACAAACATTCTGCTTTACACAAAAAGGTAAAATATTGCCATAGCTGAGAAGTTATGAATTTGTAAGAAGAACCTTAAACATAATGTATTGTATATGTAATTAGTAGAGTTCAAACGTCTGTAATTATTAATAAATAGTCAAGATATAGCTGGAAATAATCTAGTATTAAGTGATTTAATTATAATTTAGTTATAATAAAAGATGCTACATCATTAATTAATGAATGTGTAGCATTGATGCATTCCAAGAAAATGTAGACTTGCATTCAATTATATTTAATGTTATATTGGTATCGTTGTCATATTTCTGTGTCAATTCTTACAAGCCATACCAATGTTGTTAGGTGAACTGTTCTTTTTCATGATAAATGAACATAATTGATGAGCTAAAAACAGTTGCATTATTATTTTTTTCCTCTATGCTTCAATTAAACAATTTGTTGATGTTTATATTTATTTTTGAAGTGTTCATCATATTATACTCTATCTTCTAGGATATTTGTAAAAATGGAATTGGAAGAGCATTTGATAGTTTAACAGAGTAGAAATAAATGACATTAAATTATATTTATACAATTGTTGAGAGTTAAGAATAATGTAAGAGTGTGAGGTCCCAGAAGGAAGTCAACGTAGAAGTCCGAATGTGGACTATCAATCGAAAAATAAAAAAATCTCCTTTTTTAACTCGAAAGGGAGAAATTAAAGATCTCGATTAAACACTGGAAGATTTTTTAAAAATTATTTAAACAATAGAAAAGACTAAAGTCGAGGGAAACATGGTTGGAGAGGAATCATATTTAGTCACGAAACTGACCTCTCCCACGTTCTCCAATCGGTTTTGAATTGTCACCAGATGAAGAGTCAGGACCAATGAAAAGGTGGCTTTAAGGGAAAAACTTATAAAACTGCACGTTTCCAGGACAGGAAGTTCTTGGTTCATAGTACTCCTCTCCTGGATTTTGTGCCCCTGTCCTTCAACAACAAAGGCTGGTTCGACGTCCCAGGATTTGTTTTTGCTATCCTGTCCTGTCAAGATTTGCCCAGGTATGCCTAGTCATTGGAGGTCATCTCTGCAAGTTGTGCTGTGTGCCCCAGGGCCGTCACTCTCCACATCACTTCACGGAAGAAATAAAACTATCGTCGGAACATTTGAACTTTTTTGAATGGACTTGTTTCCTACCTTTGGATAGGCATTATGCCTCATTACAAGAATAGTTGTAAGAAAATTTATATATCTATTAAACAATTTTAAATGGTAAACCTGTCTCTGTGAGTCTTTCCATGCCCACACAACTGTATTGACTGCTTGATTGTTGTGACACTTTCCACCCAAATTGGCTAACCTCACAAGAACACATGCAAATATGTAAATTATTATTTATTGAAAACACATTTTGAAAGTTTATATATTTAATATTTATTTGAAATTGAGTCTGATACATTGAATTCTCAATATAATATGTAATAATTTTGGATGAAATTTTGTATTAAATTTTTAAAATTTTATTTTCTAAGTAAAAATATTTATTTTTTATGATTTCAATTTTCTATCTTAAAACAATGCTGATTATTTGTGATGTGTTATTATAGAGAAACTAATTCTTGTATATAAAGCACAAGTGATGTATGAGAGATATTTTTGTTAATTTGTGTCAGTGAAATTAAATAATTTAGTTACTGAAAATATTTTTTTTGTATTTCAGATTTGCTTAACTAAGGATGAAATTGAACATATGTCAAAAGACGATTTAATCAAAAAGTAAGAATTCTACTTATATGATGCTTTATTGCTGTGTTTTTCAACCTTCTTGAATACACGACCCCTTTTACAAGTTAAAAAAAATCTGGTGACCCCCCCAGGATCATATTAAAACTATATCAGTGATTTTAAAAACTACGTATTTAATTTTCTGTCTTTAAATGTCGATCGAAAAACAATTGTACTGTAAAATGAACAGGAACAGCCTTCTCACTGAAATTCTAGTTTTTTTTATTGTAGTGTAGGACCTACAAACACTTGTCTTTTTCTTTCACCCGCGACCCCGTGTGAGACTTTGCGACCCCCTGGGGGTTGCAACCCACAGGTTGAAAAACACTGCTTTATTGTAGTGATATGATATAAAAGCTTTATTTTTAATCAGTTTTTATATAAAATGAAGAAAATTGTAATAATGTTAAAATGATAAATGATTATATGTAATGATTATTTTATTGCATTTCTTAAATTATTATAGATGTTTAGTTTGCATATTTTCTAAATTTTCCTTTCTCTATAATCCTTAATGGTTTACAGGGAAGTGATATCTGAAAAGAAACAAAACAGAATTACATTAACATCAATATATTAATGATATTCTGCATTTTTGTTTGTTAGTGCCATTTATTTTCTTTTGGATTAATGTAAGAAAAATTTAGTTTAAAAAATAAATTTAAACATTAAACTATAAAAATACATTTATAATGATGATATAGTTCTACAGTTGACAAAGTACCAACTTAACAAATAGACTTTTCCTTACATGCTACTGATGGAGTGAGTTTTATTCTTCCTTTTTATAGATTATTGAAATTTTAGAATTGAAAAGTGAGAAAGTCCTTTTTAGAAGTTTTTTTAATGGTATTTGTAGGAAATAAGATGTAATAAAATTTAAATACAGTCGACCCCCCTATAATTACGGTCTCTATAATTATGATTCCTATAAAACTACGAAAAAATATACGTATTTTGGAAATGTTGAGTCGGATTAGTGTAGAATCGATTAATTTTATGGAAGAAAACCTTTTAATCAGCCATAGTCCGTAAACTTGACACGTGTCGGCTGTGATTGGAACGACTTGTAAGAAATCGGATTCCTAATAAATTGGAACGTATCTATATCTTATAGGAGGGTCGACTGTAATGAAGATAAAAAACAAAATAACAACAACAATAAACATGAAATATATTGTAGCTGTAAAACAAAAGTTTAATCAAGTTAGAGTTCATTCATGGATCACAATGCAATACAGTTTTTATTATATCTCATTTCTGTTAGGTATAAATTTGTTATGTTGTATTCTTTTACATTCAGATTTTGCATTCAATAGTTTAGTAACTGAAGAAGACATGTTAACATTTTTACTTTAATAAACGTGTTGCTAGAGTTTATAAGGCATGAATTTTTATTCTGGTGTTAAGCATTCAAGATTCACTGTGATAAGAAAGGAAAGTTTTGTGAGCCAAAATATGGTATCAGTGCACTTTCATTTTTTTTGTTTAGAGTAGAGCCAATATATTCAGCTATTCTGATATTTCATTAACTTTACTAAATAAATACCAATTTTGTTTTCATAATTTTATTTTTGTCTGAACAAAAATTTTTTTTGATGGATGGAAATATTTGATGTGCAGTACAAATTAATTTGAGAGTTTTTAAACAAACATTTTATTATACATGGGTGATCGGTTAATGAACATAATTCATTCAAAGATGATGTTCGCTACCCGAATTGTTCGTTAACTGATTATCGATTTATCATAGATTTTTATGGAAATTTTATTAATTCATTCTAGAGACTCTAAAATATAAATGAAAAATTATATTTCTTACTACGTGGGTGCTTCAAAAAGTTTGTGGAAAAAGTCCGTAACTAAAAATTGTTTGGAAGGATTTTGATTTCAATGCACCTGAACATTCTTGTACCAACATATTATAACATGTTCAAACATAAACCTTTAAATGCAGGTAAGAACGCAGTGTCACCAGTTGAAAGTCAAGCACCATTCAAGCAACATGGAATCCATCAAAATCGAGACCAAGAATATCAAATTTTTCTTTCCAAAACATTTTTAATGTCGTTGTTGAGGAGAACTGGCATGCTTGAAAACACAGGCAAAACAGTGTGGAAAGATACAATTTTTTGAAACTTGCAATAACCTTCTGATCCATTGACTGAATCAACAAAGTCAAAGTGATATTTAGAGGCAGAAAGTGGAGTGTTAGCCAGAAAAAGTCTTCCAGCAAATTATCTTCAAGGTCTTTTGGGTATTCCTGTGTATTGTCCAATAGTAACAGAACTTTCAATGGCAATTCATTGGTCAGAAGGTAATCTTTGATGCTTGGGGCACAAACTTTAAACAGCCATTCTTTGAAAAGAATTTGTATAACTCATGCCCTTTTATTCAATCTCCACATTACTGGCAGTCTTTCTTTAGTTATGGAATTTTTTTTGAATGCTCTAGAATTCTCAGACTCATAGACAAGAAGTGGTTTAAACTTAATATCACCACTACATTAGGTCTTTCATGAGCTTGTGCCAGGAATATTTTTCTCATTTTTCATGATGTGTAGATATGGTTTGCTGTGCACTTCCAAAATAAACCAGTTTCATCACAATTGAAAATTTGTTGTGGACAATATCCTTTTTTAATGAATTCATGAAATTTGAGAAAGAACTTCTCAGCTTCTTCTTTTATTCTCACTAGCAGATGCACGATACATTACCACAAGTTTTATGTTCTTCTAAACTTTGCAAACTATTCCTTGGTAGCCTTGAATTCTATCTCTTCATATGATGAATGTGGAGTTTGTTTCTTCAGTTCTTCAAAAATTTCTCTAACCTTGAATGGCAGTCATACTAATTACATCTCTTTTCATTTCCCATTCTTTTATCCAAACTAAAAGCAATCTCTTTATTTTTTCATGGATAGCATATCTTTGTTTCTCAAATGTGAATTTCATTACTCTTTTAACGACTTCAGTCTTCTTGAATCTTTCTTAGCTAAGATTGTGCCTACTGTAGACCTTTTCAAGCCATACTGAATAGCAACATTAGACATCTTGTGCCCACTCTCTATCTTGGCTATTATCTTTTGCTTGGTTTCTGTCTTGATACTCTGCCATTTTAGGTCGCATAATATTTTCAGTTTTTTTTAAATAAGATCAGAAAAGCACTTACAAAAATTCAGAGAACAGAAATCAACTAGTGCACAGAAGGGTTATGTATGCAGTTGTGAAAGTCTCATTCCAGAAACTGTACAGTACATAGATGGCAGTAAAATACAGTTCTACAAATCTTATACACAGCGTCACTTTTTTGTTTGGCCTTGTATTTGTTCCGAACATGTGTTTGTTGTCTGAACATAAAAAATTTTTTGTGAAAGTGTTCATTGTCCAATTTGTTTGCAGTTCAAACTGTTCATTAACCAATCACCCACTGTAGTTGCTAAGAATTTACCCATAATGGGATAGTGTTTATGAAGAGTTATAAATTTCTCTGATCAGGAACATTTGAGAATTAAGCCAACCATGAACTTTCTAGGAAAACCATGGTTTAAAGCTATAGAAACTTTTTTTAAGTTTATTTTTCTCGATTATATTTGAATATTGCACTTTAGTGTTTTACAGGTAGTACACTCACATGGTGTACTACCTCTACACCAAAGATCATCAAAATCCGTTTCCCCAAAGCCGTAGGGTATCCTTGTGAGATCATATTATGAAAATGTCATAAGGTGAATCATTTTTTCCCATATAATTACATGTAAAACTAGATAATTCGTTCCAACATGAAAAACACACTCAAATTAAAGCTAAGTAGTACATTGAAAAAACTACTTAGTAACTTTAGTATGGAAAACACTTAAAAATGCATTTTGTAGTTGTAAATGTATAAATAACCATAATAGAATAATAATTGATTAAAAATGTAGTTTTATTTACACTTTACCTTTGAGGATAGACAACGGTGGAGGTGTAAATTGGTGGCGGAGGAGAGGGAGAAGGGAAATGATACTAAAACTTAACTTACATAACATAATATAACAATAACTTAAAAATAACTTAACACTAATTTTTTTACTTTTCTGTTTTATATACATTTTTAAAATTTTTTATTCCCTTCTTTTTGCTTTCTTTCCTTCACTTCCACCAGCACTTTCACTGGATAGAGGTCACTTGGTAAAATATCTATCCAAAGAGGTTTGACTTTGCCTACTTTTTAAAATGTTTCTAAAATGACTTAGGCAAATGTCATTAAAATGAGCAGCAATACGGCCAGTGCGAACCTTTTTGGGATGTTTCTTTTCAATAAAATCAGTCACTTTTGGATAATACCTCATGATTTCCTTTATCGAGCGAGATCCTTCTAAGACAAAGCAAACACGCAGACTGAGATCGATGAACAGAAGGAACACGTGATCATTGTGGTGGTGCTGTGAACTAATGTAATGTCATATGGTGAGTTTTTGTTTGTACCATGGAGCAAAAATATGTTCAAATTTCATGTTGTATCCTGGAGATTTTGTATGTTGAAGCGATCATATCTACTGTAGATGTATTACATTTTTTTTTTTTTTTTTCAAATTCCATTTTTTACATTTGAAAATACTGTATTCTTCATACATGTACTTAAACCATATATATTATTTAAACTTTTATTGTTATTTTACATAAAAATGTGAGTTGGACAACAAAAGTTAAACTTCACATATTGTGGTATCATTTGTAGTTCGTCTCTTATGGTTTCTTGTAGTCCATTAATTGTTGTGATAGTATGTGTGGCATTGACACAAAGAAAAAATAAAAAGAAACACTGATTGGCAAGTAGTAGTATGGGAAAATCTTTGAATGCTGATACTTAGGCAGCACAGAATTGAAAATGTGAGAGAGAGATGACTTTAAAAAATTTTATATTGTAAATATTCAATTTTGTTTTTTACAAAATTAGAAAATTAGAAAAAAGCCAGTATCAGGGTGAATTTAATATTGGTACAGTGGG